GCAATGCTAGCTAATAAAGACCATGTCGTGAGCACTTTCTTCCTTTTAGGCCTTGTCTGCACAAGTGTCTCATGTTCTTGGCCCCACTTTGTGCCTGTATCAACCTCTGAGGGGGGCTGTTTTCATAATGGACATGTTATGGGTTGGAAAACAAAGGTCCAGAGAGGGTAACTAGCTTGCCCAAAGATGCACAGCTAATTAACCACGGCGGTGGGATTTGGATCTAGACAATGGGACTCTGGAGCCCAATCTCCTAACCTTTAAGCTAAGGAGTCTCTTGAGAGCACGACAAACAAGAAGGAATACTTGGACAGCCACAGTTAAGGAAACATCTTACTTTCCCTGCCACCCAGCAGACTCAGGACTGTTGCAAAGAGAAGAGCTAGAGCCTTGAGGACAGCTCCGACTCGAGCTGGGGACAGCAGGTGAGGTGGTGGGAGAGAGCCTGCAGGTAAGGTGCCACTTCTGGGAAAGAGGCAGCAGGGGAGTCTTGTGGGCAGAGGATGGGCTTTGGAGTATGAGCCACGAGGACCTCATCTCTGGTACCTCCATCTATAAATTGTCCCCCCAACAGTTTCCTAATCTGTAAAATGGGAAGATGATACTCACCTCAGGAGGCTGCCTCAGGGATTAAAGGAGACAAGTAATGAATGTAAATCTCCTCCTGTAATTGATAACTAGCACACAGTAGGTGCTCAATAAATGACTGCTCCTTAGCCTCCCCCCAAGACATGCTGTTATTCCAGGTGGCAAGGTATAAGGAATGGCCGTGCAGGTAGAAACTGCCTAGACAGCCTAGACAGAAACCCAAGGAGAGTACAACTCAGTGGTTAGGACTGTGGGCCTGGAGGTCTGGGCCACCTGAATCCATATCCTGGCTTCATCACTTACTAGTCCTATGACCTCGGGCATGTTATTTAACCTATCTGTGCCTCAGTTTCCTTATTTATAAAGTGGGCATGATAACAGTATCCACCTCATAAGGTTTGGGAAATATTAGATATTAATTAATCCGTGTAAAGCACTTCAAGGAGCCCAGCATACAGTAAGTATTCAACAAATGCCAGCAATGATAACTTAGATCAGCCCCCTGCGTGGTCCCGGGTGGAGGGGCGCCTCTGGGTCTTCAGGGGGCTCTGTTTTATGCTGCAAACCCTCCCTTTCCTTGCAGACCCCAGTCAGATCCTGGAAGGGTGGAAATCTCTGCAGCCTGGTCACATGATTGGGCTAGATGAATTTCAGAGGAAGGGCATTTCCTCATTGGAGGTGCAGCTGGGATTTGAAAATGGTGATTATGTAGGAGTCGGAAGTCTTTGATGGTGTGTGTTCAGGTGTGAAGTCTCTAACCTCTCTGAGGGTCTGTGGTCCAAGGTTTGCATCTATGGCATCTGGGGTTCTGTATTCAAGGTGTGAGGTCTCTGAACTCACTTAGGGTGTGGCTTGCAAAGTTTGAGTCTGAAGTATCTCGAGTGTGTTTAGCGTGTGAGGCTTCTTAAATCTTTGAAGACATCTGTCCTAAGGTGTCTTAAAAATTTATTTTTCTTTATTGAGACATAATTGATGTATGGTATTATATTAGTTTTAGATGTACCCAATAGTGATTTGACATTTGTATACATTGTGAAATGATCACCACCAGAAGTCTAGTTACCATCGGTCACCTTACAAGTTCGTAAGTATTACTGAACATATTCCCGATCCTCATGACTTATTTATTTTATAACTAGAAGTCTGTACTTCTTAATCCCCTTCACCCATTTTGCCCACTGCCCCATTCCCCTCTCCTCTGGCAACCACCAATCTGTTCTTTGTATCTATGAGTCTGGGTTTTTGTTGTTGTTGTTGTTTTGGCTTTTTTAGATTCCACATATGAGTGAAATCCTGCAGTATTTGTCTTTCTCTGTCTGACTTATTTCACTTAGCATAATACCCTCAAGGTCCATCCATGTTGTTGTAAATGGCAAGATTTCACTGGGTTTTATGCTAAGTAGTATTCCACCATATATATATATATTTGCCACATCTTTATTCATTCATCCATCGATAGACACAGGGTGTTTCCATATCTTAGCCAGTGTAAACAATGTGCAATAAACACAGGGGTGCATGTATCTTTTCCAATTAGTGTTTTTGTGTTCTTCAGATGGAACTGCTGGATCATAAAGTGGTTCTATTTTTAATTTTTTGAGGAAGCTCCATACTGTTTTCCACAGCAGCTGCACCAGTTTGCATTCCCATCAACAGTGCATGAGCGTTCTCCTTTCTCCACATCCTCGCCAACACTTGTTGTTTCTTGTCTTTTAATAACAGTCATTCTGACAGGTGTGAGGTGATCTCTCATTGTGGTTTTGACTCGCATTTTCTCGATGATGAGTGATGTTGAACATCTCTCGACATTTCTTCTTTGGGGAAATGTCTATTCAGATCCTCTGACCGTTTTATAATCAGATTGTTTGGTTTTTTGTTATTGAGTTGTATGAGTTCTGTACATATTTTAGACTCACACCTTGAAACACAGATCACCAAAAAAGTTCAGAAACCCCACTCATCAGCACAAATCCCCAACAGCAGATGGACATTAAACATTTAACAAACAACTTGGAGACCTCAAACTCTGAGATGAGGACCCTCAAACCACTCAGACAACCCATGCCTTGGACACAGACACCCAAACTTCTCAGCTCTCATACTCTAGACAGAGATGCCCACACAGCTTGTAAACGGAGACCGACAGATGGCTCAAGGGATTCACTCCAGTGAACACAGATACCCAAGTGTTCGGGATGAGATACTCTGGATACAGACTCCCCAAATGCTTCCAGAACCTCACAATCTGAAGATAGATATAGAAACAGAGCAGAGACCTGCGGACAGACATATTTTGGACACATACCCAAAACTATCTTGTATACCATACACCAAGAATACAAATTCCCAAACAGCCAGAGACCTCACACCCTGGGAAACAGCTAGCCAGTTCAGGGCCCCCAAGAACAAAGACTCCAACCAGCCAAGAGATCTTACACATTGATAAAGACCCTTTCAACAGCTCAGAGAACTTGTACTCTGAGTTCAGAGACCAGCAATCCAGGATGTAGAACCCACAAGGAACCTAGGGACTTCCAACCCTGCACAGACCACACCAAATAGCTGGGAGACTTCACACCTGGGGCACAGATCCTCAAGTTGCCAGACAGCTCAAAATGTGAGCACAGACCTGCCAACAGCCCACAGACACTGTGACACAGACTTCTCAGCAATTCGAAGATCTCACACCCAGGGCTACAGACCCCCAAACAGCTCAGAAGCATTACACCCAGGGACATGGACACTCAAGGAACTCAGAGACCTCACAAACTGAATGAAACCTCCCCCAAAACTGTTTAGAAACTCCAGATGCTGAGAAGTGCAAATCAAAACCACAAGGAGCTATCACTGCACGCCTGTTAGAATGGCTCTCTTCAAAAAGCTAAGAAATAACAAGTGTTGGTGAGGACGTGGAGAAAAGGGAATCCTCGTGCACTGTTGGTGGAAATGTATATTGGTACAGCCACCATTCCACCAGAGAAAACAGTATGAAAGTTCCTCAAAAAAAAAGAAAAATAAACTACCCTATGATCCAGTAATCCCACTTCTGGGTTTCTCTCCAAAGGAAACGAAAACAGGATTTCAAAGACACATCTGCACCCCCACGTTCAACTGCAGCATTAGTCACAATAGTCAAGATATGGAAACAACCGCAGTGTCTGTCAATGGATGAATGGATAAAGTAGATGTGAAAAAATATTTATGTACATAATGGAATATTATTCAGTCATGAGAAAGAAGGAAACCCTACCATTTGCAACAGCTTGGATGGACCTTGAGGGCATTATGCTAAGTTAAATAAGGCAGACAGACAGAGACTTATATGTGGAATTTAAATTGAGCTCAGAGAAACGGAGAGTAGAATGGTGGTTGCCAGGGGCAGGTGGGTGGGGGAAATGGGGAGATGTTGGTCCAAGGGTACACACCTCCTGTTATAAGATGAATAAGTTCTGGGACTCATGTACAGCATGGGGATTATAGCTAAAAATACTGTATCCTATACACCCAAAAGTTGCTAAGAGAGTGGGTCTTAAATGTTCTGCCCACAAAAAAGAAACGGTTACTGTGTAACAGGACGGAGATGGGAGCTAAAGCTGTGGTGGTCATCACTGTGCAATATTTCAATGTATCAAATCAACACCTTGTACATCTAAAACCTCCACAATGTGATATCAACTGTATCTCAACAAAGCTGGGAAAAAAAGAAAGGAGATGGTGACCACGACCCCTGAAAGACAGCACAAGGAGTCCAGACAGTGCACACACAGCCCCCAGCTTCCTGCTTTTTGCATTTAGACCCAGGTTTGGACTCAGCAGGAGTGAGTAATTGTACTTCTTTTGCGTCTTTTGCTTTGGGTAAAAATGAGCCCCCAAGTACGGGGCCCCTGAGTGGCCCAAGAAGAATTCCCAGCCTGAAGGAGGGGAGATGTGGATACAGACCTAGGAAAGAGTGAGCCAAGCCATCCCCACGTATGCAAAGAAGCAGAGCTATGCTCTTTCTCAGCCAGCAACTGTCCCCTGCAAGGTGTTGTCAGAAACTACAGGAAGCCCGGCATTTCTTGCGGGGGAGGGAAGAAGGCGGGAGGGAGAGGAGCAGAATGAGAGCAGAAAGAAGGGGAATAGAAAGCAGCACACGGTTATCTGGTCCTCGGAGAACCGGTGCATTCCCACGCAGCCCTGCTCCTGTCCTCCCTCTGCCCCGCCAGTCCAGGGACCCGCTGCTCGCCAGCCCCGCGGCTGTCACTACGACGGCCGAGCCCGCACGGTCCGCGGGGCGCCCAGCGCGGGGCGGGGCTCCGGCTGGCGGGAAGGGGGGGCGCCGCGCCCCGAGGCCTGCGCGCGGCCGGCGGGGCCCGCTCTCCCCCCTGAGGGGCGCCCCTCGCTCGCGGGGCTCCGGCCCGGCCCGGCCCTACCTGAGCTGGCGCGGCTCGCAGTCCACGCCGGGCAGAAGCAGCCGGGCCGCCTGGCGGACGTCGTCGCTGTCCATGGAGAAGCTGCGGCGATGGCCGGCGTGCGCCACGGCCACCCGGATCCACTCCATCAGCGGCGGCAGCACGAGGAAGGGTCTGCGCGGGAGGACGGGAGACAGTTAGGGCGGCCGGGTGGCGGGGGCTGCCGGCTCAGCCCCACCCCTTCCTCGCCGGTCCCCAGCACCCCCCGTCTGCCCCCCCCGCCCCCGCTTTCCCCGGGGACCCTGCCTCTGATGTCCGGAGTGGTGGGAGAGCCGTCGCAGACATCCTGATCGCACCGGTGACCCCACCGGTGACCCCACCGGTGACCCCGGGGCAGGCTCTCCAGAGTCTTTGGGCCTCAGTTTCCTCATCTGCAAAGCAGGGATACCATGTGACGATCCTGGGAGTGTTATCTCCCTCAGAGATCATGTGAACACACAGGAGATGGCTCACTTAAAGCACCAAGCACAGGGGCAGGCCTTAGTAGAAAACCCCCCAAAACGCCTGGGGTGATGAGTCCTTGGGGCTCCCCATTCTGGGCCCAACCCTAAGGTGTCCTCCAACTCTCTCTTCCTGTCTCCCCACGCTCCCTTTGTGGAGTTCTCCCAGCCCCAGTTCTGCCTGAGCACTGGGCTGCCAACAGGCTGTTTTAGCACCTGGAAAAGGTGCAAAGAGCCAAGTGGACAGGCAGTCTTCCCTGAGATCCAGGCCAGGTGGATGCCCAGTCAAGGCCAGCAAAACTGCCCTTGTTGGGGAGTGGGGGGGGGGGGTGCCAAGCCCCTGAAGCTCTGGGAGCCTCAGGTTCTTCACAGGCTAATGAGGCCACAGCAGGGGGCAGCTTGTTGCAAGAATTAACTGAGACAATGCCCAAGGCTGAACCATATACTTTGTAATGCCATACATTTGTGCCAACTTCCTGTTTCTTCCAGTGATCATCATAAACTATGTCCTCCCATTAGGATTACTGAGTTGGTGGGAGAGCTTTTATTATTATTATTTTTAAAGATTTTAATTTATTTTTTGAGAGAGAGAGACACAGAGAGAGAGGGAACACAAGTAGGGGGAGTTGGAGAGGGAGAAGCAGACTTCCCATCAAGCAGGGAGCCCGCCCGATGCAGGATCCTGGGATCATGACCTGAGCCGAACCACCCAGGCGCCCCTGTGGTGGGGGAGGTTTTTTTTTTTTTTTTTTTAAAGATTTTATTTATTTATTTCACAGAGAGATAGAGCACAAGTAGGCAGAGCAGCAGGCAGGGGGAGAGGGAGAAGCAGGCTCCCCACTGAGCTGGGAGCCCGACGTGGGACTGGATCGCAGGATGCTGGGATCATGACCTGAGCCGAAGGCAGACGTGGTGGGGGAGCTTTTGAAGGAATTCTGATTTAATTCATCTAGGATGGGGCTGGATATTGGTAGTTTTTAAAACCTCCCCCATGTGAATTTAATGTGAATCAGAATTACCTGGAGGGCTTGTTAAAATAGAAATTGCTGGGCTCCACCCCTAGAGTGTCTGTTTCAGTCGATTGGGGAGGTGGACAAAAATCTGTATTTCTCATGAGTTCCTGGGCAATGCTGATGCTGCTGGTCTGAGGCCGCACTCACAGAACTTCTGCTCTAAGGTACTGTATGGGTAGAGGGGCTGGGAATCCCGTGAGTGTGTGTGTGTGTGTGTGTGTTAAAATGCAAATCCCCTGTCCTTATCTCCAGAGAGGCTGACTGTGACAGGTCCATGAATATAATTTTAAGAAGTGGCCTCTACGATACTGACTTAAATAGACCAAGGAACACACTTTGAGAAATGTACTGTGTCGACCAACAAGGTTTCCTAGGTTCAGCAGAGCCCCTGCCTGGGTGAGGCAAGTGCGGTGCCTAGGGCGCAAAACTGAAGGAGGCCAGGCCATGCAAATGTGTTCGAGGCACCTCTCCTGTCTCATCCTGACCCCAGTGCTGCCATTCAGTCCAGCATGGCTGCCGTGGGATGGACAGAAGGTGGTAAAGGAAGGGTTGACCAGGCAGCCAACCCCCACAGTATGCAGGTGTCACGAGCTCCCAAACCGAGTTTTTAGTAGTGAGTTCTGGTTTGCCTAGAGAGTGAGCTGTTTCTCCAATGTTAATATTCGACAGCTAAATAAGCCTTTTACATTCATCTCAACTGATCTCACTCATGATCTCATCTAAATGCTTGGGACCAACGAACGAGCTAGTTACGATTATGCCTGTTTTCTAGATCAGGAGAATGAAGTTTATTGAGGTTAAGTAGCATGCCCTGGATCACAAGGTTAGCAAGTGCAAGAGCTGGGAGTCGAACCCAAGATGTTCGAGTACATAGTTTGGTGCCATAACCCCATGTGATACCGACATTCTCTTGTCTAACTTCCCAGCATGCACCCCCAGCAGAGCCGCTGATCTGGTCATAGACCATTGCTGGTGCGACATTTTCATTCTCGACCACGCAGCTCAGTCCCCAGTCTATAAGGCCTCCAGCCCTTTAAAAATCCACACCCCACTTAACCTTCAAACCACAGTGCAAATCCTACCTTACCCTAAACATTTCTCCTGATGATCCATCCTATGTGGACCCCTCCCATGGCGGACCCCACCCCACTGGCTTTACCCCCTGGCCTTGCCAATGCCCCAGTTGAATGTAAAGTCCATTGGGGTAGGGACCCAGATCTGCTAGGTTCACTGATCCAGCCACAGCCCCAGTACAGCCCTGGGAGGCTGGAAGCCCTTAATAAATATTTGTTCACAAGACAGACTAAGATTTACCAATTTCCTACTGGGTGAAATGGATGCAATTGAGCTTCTGGCCCCATGGACCTGTGGGGCAGTCTCCCAGGGAATTTCTGGCCGAGTCAGCCTGCTGCTTGGGCTGTCGCCTTCATTCTCTCATTCTCTCCATCACCTAAACCGAATCAGGCACTCAATAAACACACACTGTCTTGAAATTGAATTGGATTCTACTGTCTCAGGTGAGCAAGACTTATTTTTGTCACCATGTCTCCATCACCGTAGAAACCAGCCCCGAGCGCTCAGAGAACTCTCCTCTGGGAGAATTCTCCTCCTCGGAGGCGGCACCCACCACCCCATGCTGCCTTTCCTTTGCTCAGTGCCCCTGAAGCATGGCCCCCAACTTCCTGTCGCTGGGGGGCTGTGTCTCCCCCGCACACTGCCCTTCGGGTGCCGCCCTTTCTGTGAGGTGCTGAGGCCCAGGGCACGCCGCCAGCTCCTGAGGAAGCCTGAAGAGGAGAGAACGAGGCCCTGCTGCCTTCAGGATCACACCTGTACCAAGACAGCTAGTGAACACCAGAATAAGAAACCCTGAACCCCAGGATTCCAGCCTCTTCTGGAATTTTCTGTGTACCTGTTCTCCTTTCAACGTTGCCTTCTCTTCATCACCCCGACTTCAATAGTTTATAAGCTCATGAATTGTTTGCCAGCAACTCATTTAAAAATCTTATCTCGTCTATTCAGAGGCAGGGAAAAAGTGTGATGTTTCTTTGGGGGGCACTGGATATGGGAAAGAATTCTAGGGCCTTGAGTTAAGGAGAGGGTGGAGAAAGCTGAAGGAGAAAGACTGCATTCTCCCTATGTATTTTATTTTATTTTATTATTTTTTTAAAAGATTTTATTTATTTATTCATGAGAGACAGAGAGAGAGAGGCAGAGGGAGAAGCAGGTTCCCAAGGAGCAGGGAGCCTGATGTGGGACTCGATCCCAGGACCCTGGGATCATGACCTGAGCCAAAGGCAGACGCTTAACCATCTGAGCCACCCAGGTGCCCTCTCCCTATGTATTTTAAAGGGAACAATGTTCCACTGGCTACTGACTTTGTTCTGAAGTTGTCTTCAGTGACTAACGCCTAGAGGACGGTTGGGAAGCCCACGACTTCATGAAGTGGTTCTGAGACTGTGCTCAATGCCAGAATCATGGGTGTGTGTGTGTGAAAATTCTGAAGGCCTCAAGTCACCCCCCCAGAGTTTTGGTTCAACAAGTCTGGGCTGGGGCCTGGGCATGTGCATTCTAAATAAGCTCCTCTGGGCATTCTGGAGCAAGCTGGGTTTGAGAACCCCAAGCGGGTGGCCTGAGGTGAACAGAGCAGGGGAGGGACACCGTCCACTCTATCAGGGCAGTGGCTGTCGAAATCTTTGCTGTGGTGTTCAAACAGGAGGTCTGTGGGGTTAGGACCAGGGATTCCCGAAGGGAAGAGCAAAGCCTGGGTGGGCTTCTTGCAGAGTCAAGAGAGCAAGTCAGCTCAGGAAGGTTGTTGGGCCCAGATTCCAGTGGGAGATGGAGAACATGCATGGGTGGAGCCTTTTTGAAACAGTGAAGAGAAAGCTGGTGGGGCGGGGGTGACCACTCAGAATTGAAAGGGAGTTCGGTTGGGGAGGGGCTGGGTGCTAAGGAGGATGCTACGGGATGTGGGAGAAGCCTGGTTTGTTTGGGATTCTGCAGAACTGGATTCCAGTCCTGAATCTGCCAAGAAAGAGCTCACAGTAGGACTCTGGCTCTGGTCTGCAAATGTTTAGGCTCTCAGTGTCTTCGTCTGTAAAGTGGATGGGCTTGGATCAGAAGGTCTATTTCAGGGGTCAGCAAACCTTTTCTGTAAAAGGCCGAATAGTAAATATGTTAGGTTTTCTGGGCCATCTAGTCTCCGTCTCAACTACTGAACTCTGCCATGATAGTGGGAAAGCAGCCCCAGACAATATGCACACGAAAGAACCTTGCCACATTCCAAGAAAACTTTATACAAAAAGTCACAACGGGTCATAGTTGGCCGACCCTGGGTCTTTTGGTTTCTTCCTCCTCTAAAATTCTTTGAGTACACTGAAAAGCCAGCTTCCTGGGGGCTTAGGAAGAAGCCCTGAAGATGGGGAGATGCCCATGAAGGTCCTAGGGATGGGGACAGAAAGCTTTGGAGAGATTAGAAAACAGGACCCTCGACAAAGAGGTCATGGTTGCATCTGGAGAATAGTGAGCCACAGTCATACCCAGAGGTAGTACCCCAAGAAGAAAACCCAAACCTGGCCATGGGTGTGTAACTGATGAAATGTCATCTGTTAACCTCACTCATTCATCTAACAATCCTTTAGGGAGCCACCCATGTTGTAGGCAC